AAACTTTTAAAGAAATCATCATTAGATTACTTAGCTAGATCAATTGGTAGTTTACATATGGCCTAAGCTGCTTATCAACCATTTATACCATAACAAAATTTCTTGCTTTATTAATTAATCATCCATGTAAATCGAGTTAATAATAACTTGAGTAATATGAAGTGATATATGAATCATGTTAGAAACGCAAGATAGGATGAGTAGCTTCCTTCATTAGAAAGGATGTTTAGCTTTATAAGATCTGAATTAAAGGCTTTAGAGGGTCGAGTGAAATTAGACCTAATAAGATGCCAGGCGCCCACAATAAACCATATTTGATTAAGGATGATGACGACTGTGATTTCCTGGTGCAGCCAAGTACTTGAAAATAAAGACACCAGTGCCGTACAGGTGGAGGAAACTGTTTATTAGTATCCTGAAGTATGGGATGAACTTTGCCTATGGAGGGACAGGTGTGTTCAACACTTTGATTGCAGAGCCAAACATGACAATCCAGATCGATTACTTGCAGCAGCTCCTGAATGAGTCTGTGTACACTAAGAGGAAGCTCAGGTCTTCTATGGCCCTCGTCAGCCTCGCAGGCAATGACTACTTGACTTACATTCAGAAAAATGGCTCTCCTGAGGTAAAGACACAAATTAAACATGTGTCTGTCTGTCGTTTTCTCTATGGGGTCTGTTGCATTTCAATGATCATCAAGTTCCCTTCATGCACTAATTAATTTTGTCTGTGTACCGTGTGTCATTTTGTTCGGTATTCATGGCATATCTTTGTCATATTGGAATCAAACAGAATTTCAAAGGACTTGTCGTCCATTCTGCAGCAGAAATTTGGTTAGGATTTCTTTCAAGTGCTCGTAGCATTAGTCGGGTCAAAGGTCTGGACATATTCATAATCCCTGTTATACAAAAAGTATGTATAATCTTAAAATTATTTGTGTTGATAGGGCTGGCCATCCTTCATTAAATCTGTGGTGGATCAACTTGCAGTCAACATGAAACGCATCTACAACATGGGAGTGAGGAAAGTAGCCGTGAATACCCTGCAACCCTTGGGCTGTCTCCCACGGAGCACCATCCAGAACTCGTTCCGACACTGCAACACAACTGAAAACAACTTCGTCGACCTCCATAACGTCTACTTACAACAAGCCATCGGGAAATTGAACACCGAGGCCAACAGTACTGATAATCGTTTCATCACTCTCGATCTTTACTCTGCATTTTGGACTGTGTTCCATAATGAAACTGCTCATCAAGGTACTTATTTAGTTGAAACTATTCATTACGTCTTAGATATATTGGAAATTAACAAAGACACATTCCTCTGCTGCAGGTAAGGCGACGTTTAAGAATCCATATGAGCCGTGTTGCATCGGTATAAGCAGCCAATATTCATGTGGAAGTGTGGATGGGAATGGGATCAAGAAGTACACGTTGTGCGCGGATCGTAAGTTGCGATTCTTTTGGGACGCAGTTCATCCTACGCAGGAGGGGTGGCACGCCATATTTTCAACTCCTGCTATGCAGAATAGTCTAGAGCAATTCTAGAGGAAATTGTTCCATATATATGTACCTATGTTGTTTCATCTGTCTATTGCAATTCGTTTGTCTAGCACTTTTCTTTCAAACGTGAGTCAGTTAGTGTAATTATGCATAAACAAACTCAATTAGTGCATCATTAATAAATGTTCGTATGAGTAGTTTAAACACCATTTAGAACAGTCTGTTAGACAGTGGTAAATAACAAGATGAATATAAAGGTTGTAACAGGGTCCAACTCCAAGGCATGAACAGTGTCAAAAAAAACTTGTGCACCGCAGGGTACCAGGAAAACAAACAACCACAAGAGTAAAGGCTTAAGGGCATATTCTTAATTCAAATCATGGAAAGAACCAAATGCATAATGAGAAAGAACAAGAAACCTAGAGAATGACAACCTGACATTCCTTGGAGGCCATTGGCAACGACAATAAATCGTTCTTGGAATGTTGTTCCCCTCCAGTAATATGAATTGTCAACTTCTCCAATACCAGGGTATCGTTCAGAAAATACTGAACGAGTTTCATATAAGCTTCTGAAGAAATGCAAAACCAAATGAGAATACTGAAACTGTATTTGATTGTATTAATCGTACAAGACTTGTGTATATATATATAGCTACAGAAGCATAATTACAGGGATATATTTAGATCCTAGAATTTTGCCTAAGATCATGGAAATGACCGTTGCATCAATTCTTCCTTGTACTATGCTTTGGTTTTTAATTGCCTGAGATACTTCCCCTTTTTCTTTTACTGGTTGTTTCCTTAGTTGGCTGAGGTCCTGATTCTTTGTGAGGTCTTGATTCTTTGCTTGTTAATTCTGTAGTTGATTCAACTTCCTTCACACTCCCCCTCAAACTAGATTGGGGAGAAACCACCAAGCCTAGTTTGAACCGTAAGAACTGAAACTGAGTGCGAGGTAAGGGCTTGGTAAAGATGTCTACAATCTAATCCATGCTCAGAACGTACCTCGTCACCAGAGAACCAAGTGTTACCTTTTCTAGAACAAAATGACAATCTAATTCAATATGCTTTGTTCGAGCATGGAACACAAGGTTAATAGCCATGCGTAGAGCACTAATATTATTTGAGAACACTTGAGGAGGATTTAGGAGTGAAATGCCAATATCATGGAGAAGATAAGTGATCCACACAAGTTCAACTGTAGTAGTGGCTAGCGCTCTATACTCTGCTTCTACAGTGGAGCGAGCTAGAGTGGATTGTTTCTTTGAAGACCAAGAAATACAATTAGCTCCAAGGAATATGCAAAATCCTATAGTACTTCTTCTCGTTATGGTACATCCTGCCTAATTTGCATCACAAAACCTAGTGAGAGATAGTGTACTGGACGAGTAGAAACTAAGGCCATGGTGTAAAGTCCCTTTGATATAGCATAGGATGCGTTTAACTTAACGAAGATAAGCAAAGGTAGGCTATTGCATAAATTGGTAGACTTTGTTAACTGCAAAACATAAGTTAGCTCTGGTGATGGTTAAGTACTGTAGAGCACCCACAATTTTTCGGTATTCTTGAGCATCAACAGGGTCCTCGTCTCTTGGTGTATGTGGTTCTTTGACTACCATTGGTGTTGCAATCATGGAGGCTTCAACCATGGTTGCTCTAGGAAGAATATCCTTGGCATATTTGGCTTGAGACAAGAATATGCCACCAGAGAACAAGGTAACCTCAATACCCAGGAAATAGCTTAGAAAGCCTAAATCCTTGAGAGCAAACTTATTGCTAAGATTTTCAATAATATGCTGCAGTAGAGATGAAGAGCTTGCAGTAAGTACAATGTCATCCATGTATAAGAGAAGCAAAGTTGTATCTTGTCCATTATGAAAAAAAAATAGAGAAGAGTTTGCCTGACTGCAATGGAGTCCTAGCTTTAATAAATGAAGAGTGAAGGTATCAAACCCTACCCTAGGGGCTTGTTTGAGACCATAGATAGATTTATTGAGTTTGCAAACATAACTTGGATGATTAGGATCTTCAAATCTTGGTGGTTGTTTCATATATACCACTTCTTTAAGCTGGCCATGAAGAAATGCATTCTTCACATCTAGCTGTCTTAGTGGCCATGATAAGGTTGTAGCTAAGGCAATTACTAACCATAGGATGGTGGGTTTGAGCACTGGACTGAATGTCTTTTTAAAGTCTACCCCTGGTACTTGTGAAAATCCTCGTGCCACTAAGCGTGCCTTAAACTTGTCCACACTTCCATATGAATTTAACTTTGTTTTGAATACCCATTTAGATCCCACAATGTTTGTGTTAGTTGAAGAGGGAGGCACTAAGGTCCATGTATTGCTCTTGTAGAGGGCAGCCAATTCTTCTTGCATTGCTCTTAGCCATTGTGGGAGTTGTAACGCTTTCTTGATGGTTTCCGGCTCTCGAATGTCCATACCTGCATTATTCAAATAGGAATTATTATTAGTGACCATAGTGTTTGCATATTTTGGAAATGAAGTCTTAACATGGCCAATATGCGTCCCTATACGAGTTCTTGTCATCATTGGGTGAGTAGATGCTGAAGTTGCATTGTGAGATGGTGGAGGCACTCCAATAGGTTCTTGTGAAGACTTAGCAAGATTTGGCTCTTTTTGAGTAACTTGTACTCTTATAGGTTCCTGTGAAGATTCAGCAGAAGCTGGTTCTTCTTGAGCAACTTGTACCAGACTTGGATTGATCCTAGTGGTAGATAAAGGATTAATTGAGCTTGAAGGAGAGTCCCGATTGTTAGGTCCCAAAGTGCTTTGAGCTGAGATGTTGTCTCTCTCATATTTCAGATCTTGTTCTCCCTCGAGCTCTATATTCTCTGCATTATTATCTTCTATTTCTTCTTCTCTCATGCTTTCTATACCCATGGTCTGTTGCCTAGTAGGTGGAGTCATAAAAGCATCATCATCCAGCTTCCATGAGGGTTGTAAGTGGGATGAGGCTCGTGACCACTTGTCATGGTCTGGATACTTGCAAAGTTCACCATTTGTACTTATATTTCCTGAAATTCTTGTTAGATCAGTATATGGAAGAAAGACTCATCAAACACTACATGCCTTGATATATATACTCGTTTTGTAAAGGGATGCAAACATTTGTATCCCTTGTGAATTGAGCTATATCCAATGAACACACAACGCAAAGACCTTGGCTGAAGTTTATGAGCAGCATGGTCCCTTAGATATAGAAAACATCTACATCCGAACACCTTTATCATAGAATAATCAGGTGACTTGCCATATAAGAGAAAATAAGGAGTTTTATTATTCAAATTAGGTGTAGGCATTCTATTAATAAGAAATACTGCTGTAGAGAAACTATCAACCCATTAATGGGGTGGCATATTAGCATGAATTAACATGGTCAAACCTATCTCGACTATATGTCGATGTTTTCTTTCTGCAACCCCATTCTATTCTGGAGTGCCAGGGCAGGATACCTGTAATCTAATGCCACAAGCTGCTAGATGATTAATGAAAGCCTTATTTGAGAACTCACCACCACCATCGCATTGAAAAATTTTGATGTTTTTGTCAAATTGTGTGGCTATCATCTTTTGAAATTTCTGAAAAACATCAAAGAAGTCAGACTTCTTATGCAGAGGATAAAACCAAGTAAATTTGCTGAAATCATCCACAAAAATCACATAATAAACAAAGTGGTTAGTAGATTGAACTGGAGAAGGCCCCCACAAATCACAATGAACTTTTTGAAACAAAGCCACTACTCTTTCATTATTTTTATTAAAAGCAAGCTTATAGCTCTTCCCCATTTGACAACTAGAGCATAAATGAGAGGGCTTAGTCCATTTTGATACTACAATACCATTTTTCATGACTAAAGCTTCTAGCACATTAGAATTAGGGTGTCTTAATCTTTGATGCCAAATGGAATCTATAGCTTTATTTGAAATTGCTGCAAGGGCATGATTCTCTTCTTCTTCCAGTGCATAAAGTTGTCCTTTCCTAATTCCTTTGGCCACCACTGCTTGTGTTACTTGGTCCTTGATCACAAAACCATTAGATGAGAACTCAAACACACAAGGATTTTCATCAGTAAACTTACTAACATATAACAGATTTTTCTTGAGTTCAAGAACAAGTACATCATTAAGATTTAAGGAACCAATAGATGCTGAACCAATATGAGAAATATAAAGTGGAGTTCCATCACCTGTAAAAACTTTTTGGTTTCCATTATATTGTCTTTTAGTATAGAGATTACCTGGATCAGAGGTCATATGATCAGTGGAACCAATATCAATATAGGTACTTTTGTTGTTGTCATCCATTATGGTAAGTGCAACCAATGCTTGAGGAATTTCTTCACTTTGGTAGGCATGGTCAAATCGATACCAGCACTTTAAAGCATTATGTCCAGCAATTTTGCATATTTGGCACACGCTTTCATCTTTCTAAGGTAAGCTTTTCTGTTGGTATTTCTAAGACATGGTTTGCTATGGAGTTTGGGTTGTTGTTGTTGCTGGACCAATTATGATTGTAGTTGCTAGCCTGAAAAAACCCTCTACCTTTGGAGCTAAAGTTTCTGCCACCATATCCTCTACTATGTAGACCTCTTCCCTTTTGTGCAACAAACACTTGAGCATATGCTGAAGTTTTATCCTTATTTTCCTGGTCTGCTGCTTGCAACTCCCTTTCATTATTTTGCAGCCCCGTAATATATTGGTTGAAAGTAGGATATGGCCTTTTCGACAACAGTGCTAGATTGTAAGGTTGATAACATGTTCCTACAACCTTGGACAGCTGAAACACCTTGTCCAAGTCATCAACGAGCTTGCGGATTGCAGCCAAGCCATCATAGGTTCCTTTGAACTTCCTTATGAAATTTTCAAGAGATTCACCGTCCCCTCGCTTGATTGTTAACTGCTCCTTAAGGTGAATTTCTTGTTCCTTAGTAGAGGCAAGGTAATGATCTTCAAGACACCTCCAGATTTGGCTAGTTGTATCACAGCCAACAACTAATCTCAATGCTTCTTCATTCATGGTTCCAAGTAACCAGCTGGTGAGCAATCCATCATTGTTTAACCAGACCTCATAATCTGGATTTATTTCTTCTTTGCCATTCCTTGTGATATTCATCGCAGGTGCCTCCTCTTCAAGGTGATTCATGAGTTGAGCACTCCAAATTAATGAAAAGACCTGAGATTTCCAAAGTAAAAAATTGGTGTTTGAGAGCTTAATTGAGATTAAGCTTGCCATTTGATGGAAGCTTTGAATGGTAAGCTTAGTCTTGTTCTTTGACATTGTTTGATTTGATGAAACTGTTTCGAACTGGAATATGAGGAAATATGAGGAAGTATGAAAGTGGAAGAAAGTTTCAAATGTAGCAGAAGGAAACAAACTATAGTATTCAGATGCAGATGTTATTTAGCTCTGATACCATGAAGAAATGCAAAACCAAATGAGAATACTGAAACTGTATTGATTGTATTAATCTGTACAAGACTTGTGTATATATATAGCTACAGAAGCATAATTACAGGGATATATTTAAATCCTAGAATTTTTCCTAAGATCATGGAAATGACCGTTGCACCAATTCTTCCTTGTACTGTGCTTTGGTTTTTAATTGCCTGAGATACTTTCCCTTTTTCTTTTACTGGTTGTTTCCTTTGTTGGCTGAGGTCCTGATTCTTTGCAAGGTCTTGATTCTTTGCTTGTTAATTCTGTACTTGATTCAACTTCCTTCACAGCTTCCTCGCCTCCAAATGACAAAATTTTAATTTCCTTGACATGATTCCAGAAACTAGCCAACAAATGTGCAGCTAATGCCCAGGTACGAGGATCCCATTCATCTGAGATTTTCTGAGCATAAAACATATGCAAGATTAGAAGACACAAGAGCACTTCAAATTGCCTAGATGGAAAGGTACGTATATGCCATTCTTATACCTGAAAAATCAACGTTTCAAACTGATAACAATGCATAAGAAAATGACACAGGCCAATTGTGTTAAATTCCCCACCAACAATTTTCAACTCCGTTAATTTCCCAAGTGGAGCCAAAGGAACTCTATGGCATGCAAGAATCTGTCACAGGAAGAACAAGTTGCAGTGTTACCTTAATACTAGTAATTTCAAAAATTCACACAAAAAGGATAAAAAGCAATATCAAGAAACTATAATAAACTCTTACCAATAGACTGTCACTGGATATTTGAAGGGATTGAATATTCTTTAAACCATTGAACAAATCAGTAGCAACTGCTAAATAAACAACAGCTTAAGCCAGTAACCGCACATCTACAAATTGATGTGAGTGAAAAACAGAGGAAGAATATTCAAGGTAGACAAGTCTTGGGGCATTAATCACCAACTCAACCTTCTGTTCTAGTAGAAAGTTAGTCACAATAGCTGTAATGGTCAGTCTTTTGAGTGAAGGATTAGATACAGAGAACTTGTGACATCCAACCCTCAAATAACACGATTGCCAAGCCAAATCCTCAAGGGCAGGACAACTAGAAAACAGCCTTTCACTAGACTCATCATTCGAAAACACAAATCCCTTGAGTTGAAAAACCTTAAGATTTGGAAGACAAGCCTCGGTAGGAACTTTAAAATCGCAAGATTGCAAGGGCAAATCCAACTTCCGTATCATGAGTGACTTGCATGAAAATAAACTCATTGGCAGAGGCAGACCATAAAACTGTTTAGCTTCAATGGATAAATCAAGTTCTTAAACCATATGAGACATTAGAGCATGTATCCACCCATCAATGCACAAAGGATCAAGAACTTGATAGCACTTGAGATGGAATCTTTTTATACACGGTTTCTTAGAGAGGAACAATACTCTGTCTACAACACTTATGAACCTCATAACCTTGCATAGTTCATTCTCATTGAACTCAAAGTTCAGATTAGAAATCAAAGTGAAAAGATAACTCCACCTTCTTGATAGAATGGACGTTCGA